AGCAAGAGGCCTAGGAAATGAAAAAATGTCAATGGGTGTAATTCATCAGCTGGACATTTAAAGGCTTTATATGTGATTTTTTGATCCAGCAGATGTCGCCCTTGAGCACCAGCATGAAACCAAAACAACTGGCACTGCATTGTTGTGTTAGCATGCTAATGCTAGCTATCTTTATGATACTCGTATCTCCACACTGCATGTAAATTTACCTGAAATGAGCGTGATCTAGAAACACAGTTAAGTAGTGAGTACAGTATGTTATTCTTCTTTTCTCTAGTCCCTCAATTAAACTACTTTTATATGTGAGGGGAGGAGTCAGCCGGCCGTCCAGGCGATGTAAACAAACTGAAGATAGGACTCTGAAAACTCTGAAAACATCACAGACAGTGGGACTCGGGTGTTACACCCATTGTACACAGTCATGACTCACAGAGTTATTTTCAGAGGATATACTTGATTTATATTACATTTAAGTGTTAAAAATCACATATTAAGACTTTAAGCAATCAATGCATGCAAGAATGAGGAAGCAGGTGTCTTCTAATCACAGTAAGAGTACTGTATTATTAGTCACATGTTCATTTGTTTATTAAATATCAAACACTTCCTGTTACCTGAGGTGTGGCAGAAGCACCAGGGCTGCCCAGGGCCGAGAGAGGTCAGTGATGCTCTTGTTGTTCTCCTCAGAAAACTGGATCAGCGACAGCACCAGCTCTGGCACCGCAGGTTGTTCTGATGCTGTACTGTTGGTCTTACTACTGCTGAACACTCTGTTCAAAGAGAAATACGATCAGACAACCAGAGACTCATTTGGGCTGTTTTCATTAAGAATCTAAGTAATTCAACAGCTAACAATGTGATCTACACTGTCACATCTCACCCTGTCGTCTGTCCGGTGAAGAGCAGTGGGTAGGTTTCAAAGGCCATGGAGCCATCTGTTGGGGGCGGGGCTTTGGCCAGGATCAGGCTGACCAGCACATCCAGCCCACAGTGGCGGGACAGGGGATCACCGCAGCCGAACAACCCAGCAGTAAAGCGCAACAAGCTGGGGAGGAAGAGCTGTGGAGGAGATAGAGGGAGAGGAAGTGTCAGTTTGTGGTGGAGAAGAAACAAACAGAGTTACATGATAAATAACTGTAATGATGATTCACCTGCTCAAACTGCTTCATGGTGAACATTTCCTTGGTGAATTCAAGTATCAGATCGTGTCCAATCGTGCTGCCAAACACCTGGTGATGCAAATATACATTTTCAAGATCATCTGTACATGAATACTGACACCGTACCTACATACAGATATTCTTATCATTTTGTTTTTTCACCTTCTGCACCGTCTCTTGGATGATCGCTTTAGGCAGGATAACGTTCTCCCCAAGGAGCAGAGAGGAGGTGATCTGGAGGAGCAGACGGGAACAAGACTCTGACAGAAACGAGCTCTGAATCAGACGCAGCACCGTCTACAGACACAGAATCAGATGATAAAAACAGTCAAAACACGGCTGACGTGAGGTTTTTGTGTATGATGAAACTTCTTTGCGTTCTCCTTGTACCTGACAGACCGCCTCAGGTTTGGTGATCTTGGCTCCGTCCTTGTGGGACACCAAGGTGTGGAGAATGAACAGCAGCCTCTCCAGCTGCTCTGCTGCTGCCTGATCTGACTCCTCCCCTTGTGCCTGCATGACACCCAAGACCTCCAGCACACCGACCTGTACATGAAGACACACCACTGTCATTAAAAAAGTTCAACTCAATGGGAAGGTTTCTTTTTTTTTATTAATTGGACTGAAATGATAAGAATCAGACATCTCGTCATGCCCACCTGTAAGGACTCCCACAAAACCAGGAAGTGCTCTTTGTCAACGTGATTGGCTGCAGCCTGGGCCAAGTGATCCATGGCGTCCCGGACAGTGTCCCATGGAAGAGAGACCGCAGGGCTAGTTGAGGGTCCAAGTTTACGTAGAGCTACAGGGAAGGCCTGGAGGAAAACAGAAATCTCAGAACTCATTGTGTCTAAAAACAACAGCTTTCTTTTGAATCACTTTTTCACATAACAGAGGTTCACAAGTCTGAGGAACAGACCAATGAAGTCTGTGCTGTTTCATTTATTTCACATGTTTTTAATCTTCCAACTCTTTCTGCTAATTCACTTGAATTAAAAATATCACATAAGTCAGGAATCAATCCTCTCGGACATGGGGAACCCACATTTGCAGCGCAGGAGTGAAACTTGTTTCGAACTCCTTTGCACATCTCAAAGAGTAGTTGACCCGCTCCCTCGGCCTTGTCCGGGTGCTGCTGCAGATCTGAGAACATGAGACTCAGGAGAGCATCAAGGTCTGGAACCTGTGTGACACAAATGAGACAAACAGTTCATCAGGGGAACGCAGCTAAACACACTGATGAATGCTCAGTATTGATGCTGAATTATTAGAAAAACAAAAACATGTCGAGTCATCTTTTTTATTTCAAGACACACAAAGAGAAGAACTCGTTTATGATTGTGATGTTTCTAGATTGCACATCGCTCACCTTTCTCATCAGAAAAGAGAAGCTCTCTGCAGCAAACTTGCGGATGTGCTCTTTCTTGTGCGCCAAGAGTGTGCTGTACAAACTGTGTGGTAAAAACAGGCGTTCAATTACATCCAGCAAAAAAAAAGGTTTGCACTCCAAAAAAGGAACAAATACCAACCATCATGCAGAGCATCACCAGGGAGCCTCACTACGTACCTGTAGATGTTAGTCATGTCCTTCACCATGAGCCTCCACAGGTACTTGTAGAGGTAAGAGAGACATGTGAACGCCCACTCCAGGATCTCTGTGTCCTTGGTTTCCAGCAGTGAGGTGATCAGGACGAAGAAGTCGGGGAAGTGGGGGTAGAAGTCCATCTGCAGGTCTCTGGCCAACTGCACCACCAGGCTAGAGGGAGAAACGGAGGACACAGCTCGTAAATCAACCTGTCAGTCAGGGAGAATTATTTTTTTAAGGAGACAACAACAAAACACAACTTACTCCAGCAGGGGCTGGTAGGCGAGACTGTTCTTCACACTGAGGTGCGTTTTCAGACTTTCCACTATGGCTGCCTGATGGAAAACCAGCATGTTGAAAGACTGGCTCTTGTTGGAAACATCTTTTAGAAAAGTAGCTGTGGAGAAAAAGGCATTGATTTTACATTGTTTTGTTGTTGTTTTTTTGATTAGGAAAAGCATTCTTCACACATTAGAAATTACACATAATAGCAGAATAATTGCAAGACTCCTCCCTCAAACTTTCTAACATTGGAGCACTTTCTCTGCAGGAAGAGGTGGGTATGATGCTCGCAGTAAATTTAACAATTTAGCTCTTCCAAAGACTTTTTTCATATTCAAGTAACATGACATTAATTAAATTGAAATTATTTACAAAAGAACACAGGAAGCGTTCACCTTGGAGGGGTAGAGAAAGAAAAATAAGAAAATGAAATACAGAGCAGGTTAACGGATTAATGAAAATGACAAAAACGAGGAAATATCACCCATGTACTCCAATAAGTCAAATAAAATCAGGTCTTATAGGTTTGACATATTCAGTCCATATCCTGTAGAATCTATCCTTCTGGACTTTGAGGGGAAATGACAGCCTTCCCATAACATATATTTCATATATTATGTCTATCCACTCATCAATAGTTGGTGGGTTAGGTTTTAGCCATTTTTTGATTTTACATTGTTAAACACACTTCAGGTGTAGAGGTATGACAACACAGGCACTTATGATGTAGTATTCATGTATTATATACATACTGAAATTCTCTGTCAAGTTGAGGTCTTTCCATTTTGTCAGTCCTTCAGAGAAGTATGTTTCTACTTCCTACATGGGGAGAAAAAACAAGTTGTAACCAACTAGATGTTTAGCACAAGATAAGGAAAGAAAGATTTCTGTAGCTAAATGTCTGACTGTACTTTACCTCTGCATAGGATCCTGTCCTGTCGATGCGATGGATTACATTGATGTTTACATTGGCAAGTCTTTCTGCAAACGTGAGAAACTGACCAGAGACAAGAGAGGGTTTAAATCATAGCTTAGAGACATTGAAAATGCTAGTAATACTTTACATGGATTTCAGGTTAAATTCTTCACTGGTCATAACATATCAGACATCAAAATGAACACTGAATCACTCTACTTGTTTTGCTTTAACTTTCATTTAACGTGTGTGTTTCACTAACTCTTATTCTCCGTTAATGAAGGAGGTGTTTGTACACTTTAGCCCTGGGACTCTGTTAGCTTCACAGAGCAGTAAGTTTCTTGAATCTCACCCTGTAAGTGTTCTCAGATTTATGATACGAAGACTTGGATTTGATCTTCATCTTTGCCGTCTTTGCTTGTTCAGGGATTAATTGTATTCCGAGGATCGCGGCGCGGTGAAAAGATTCATGAAAAACTACAATTTCTTAATTCTATCGGCTACGACTGTTTACACACACGCCGACACCAGGGCGCAGCCATGCTGAACAAAGCATTGTGGGAAATTTTTCGCTCCACATGGTGGTCGAACAGTCGAAGAGGACAGAAAGAGGCACTAAAATAATCCTACATTCACTTCCGCCTTCGTTTGAGCATTACGCGCCCGTACTTCCGGCTTCCTTTAAATTTGGAAACGGTAATGATAAATGTTGTAGGCTACATTTTAAATAATTATAAACGTTAAGTAAATAAATAAACAACCAAAGAAAACAACAGGAATTATGAAGACTGTGTGATACAAAAATGGTTTGTTTTGAATTAATGCGATCACAATAATATCTGCCAATTACAAACTATGAAAAAATTCAAATCAGTAGTTTTATAATGATGCCTCGAAATAAGTTATTTTATACTTTTGATATTGAACCGAGACTGGAAAAGAAATAATCAGTCAAAAGCCTCATCATTCCTCACTTAGGCTAAGTAATGGTTTAACCCAAAGGTTTAAGACTGACTTGTTAACCATTATAACATCAGACTGAACATCTCCTTCTACCAGTCTACCAGTGTTTTTCCCGTTCCTGAGGAATAACAGACCTGGACATTTTGCAGAAAAAAGTTACTCAAATCAATCAAGGTAAATCTATTTTGTTTTTTCCTCGTAATATGAGAGAACTTTAACCACTGGACCAACTCAATATGCCATGACGAGATTAATGATTCATTTCCATAGATACTTTGAATCACCTAACGGTTGTGTAGTGAGAAACACTATAATATACTGTCCCTGTAAATTACTCCAAAAGTAGTATGTATTCTTTGTCTGTGAGACACTAAAGTCTAAATTACCAGTCTGGGAAACAAGATGTGAAGATAGATAGAATAAATGGGTTTTCATAAAAGCATTTCTTAAAATAAGACCAAAAAAACAGAGCTAAAATCTAGATGTTTGTGAAGAGATTCAATGATGACTTCAGCATGAGCTATACTTTACTTTTTAGAATATCACCCCATTAACAACAAAAAATTATATTTATATTATAATATGATATATATAATAGTGATAATCATAATATCACCCCATTAACAACAAAAAACAAATTACACCTTAACTCCATACATTTGGGTTACACTTGCTTCAAAAGAGAGTCCTCTGAAGAGCTAAAGCAGAAATATTCAAATATTGAACCGCTGTGGTGTACTAGTACTCAGGGTGAGAGCAGGGGGACGATTGTGCCCCGATGTTTGAAAAAAAAAAAATGCTCGGAAAATGCCCTCATGGAAACCCCTGTAGAAGATAAAAAACGATAAAGCGCCCTCTTGGTGTCTTTCCAATTGGTTATTCTGAGTAAAATGTCCTTGTAGGTACAGCAGTTATACTCACTATAACTTTTAATTCTCTTAAAATGGTTTGATGTCACCACTCATCACAACTTTCTCTGGGCTGGTCCCTCATAGCATACTGTACAATTTGTGCCCTTTTTTAATTTGTTTTTACACTTGCCCCTCAAACAGTCTGGATATGGTATTGTCAATCTGTAATTAAATGCCAAGCTAACTTCAAGACATGCAGACTGTAATCTTGAGCACTATTAGTTCCCATCATCGTTCATATAGTTATATAGTAACTACAGGGTGAGGCTGTAAAACACACCTTGTGATTACTTACTTACTGCCCTTTATGCCTACTGGCATGTAGGGCAGCAACAAAGAAGAACTGGATAGAACTCCAGGTCTGCTTCACGTCTTTCAGTTCTTTCTCCACTGTTCGACGGCAAGTTTCTTTGGGTCGTCCTCTCTTTCGTTTGCCTTCAGGTGTCCAGTGTAGGGCGGTTCTAGTAATGTAATCCTGTTCTTTTCGCATGATGTGTCCAATCCATCTCCACCGCCTTCTTTTTATGATGGTCTCTATACTTTCTTGGTTGGTCCGAGCAAGTAATTGTTGGAGATGGTGTTAGGCCAGAAGATACGTAGGATTTTTCTGAGGTTTCTTGTGTGGAATGCCGAGAGCTTGGAAAGGTCTTTCTCTGTCATCCTCCAGCATTCAGAGCTGTATAGTAAGGTGGAGAGAACACAGCTCTGGTACAACTTGAGTTTGGTGTTGATGCTGTACTTCGTGGACTTCCACACATTGTTCATCATTCTGAATGTTTTTCTTGCCTTGTTGAGTCGGCTTTTGATGTCATTGCCTGTTCCTCCATCATATCTAACAGTGCTTCCTAGATATGAAAACTCTTCTGTTGTGGGTATATTTACTCCATTTATTTGTATATTTGGGGGATTTTGTGTGTTTAAGGTCATCACCTCTGTTTTCTTCAGGCTTATGTTCAGTCCTATTTGTTGTGCAAATCTGTTGACACGGGATGTTTTTTCTTGCATATGTTGGTGGGTATGGGAAACCAGTTCCAAGTCGTCTGCAAAGTCTAGGTCTTCAAGTGTTGTAAATAGTGTCCATCTGATGCCTCTAGGTTGATCTTCGGTTGTTCTTCGCATCACCCAGTCTATGACAGTATTGAAGAGTAATGCTGACATCACGCACCCACCTTGTGATATGGAGATCTTAATCTGGCCAGCATACGCATTTGTTTATGAAATAAATTAAAGAAAGACTGTACGCTCTGTGTAAGAATTGCTCTTTCTAACAAATGATTCTTAAAGCCAGTCCCTGCTTCTTCATTGAACAGAATATACAACTGTGTTGAAGTTTTACATTTTCAAACATGCTTATATAAAAATGAATCTTTTGCCAAATCAAGATATTTATGAGACCTCTTTTCCACAGAAATAAATAAAAAAATGCAAGTACATCAAAGCTGCTTAGATTTTCAGAAGTTGGAATTAGAATTTTTCCTACATTATGAATACTTTCACATCTTACATCTTCCACAACATTGCAATACAAAAAAAGCACTGACAGGAGTGACTTCTGTTTAGAGGTGTTGGAAATGTTTTTTTTTTATACATCATATAGGCCTTGAAGCTGAAAATGCAAGGAACAAAAATGTGGTGCAACTAGGCGCAAAGAAAATGGCAACTTGTGGTCTTCTACAATAAACTGGAAGTTTTGCTTTTTCAACTTAGTGGCATCAAACTCATGTTGACATCTTGGACAGAGCCATATCAAGAGCAGCAAAACATAAAAGTATGACACCACAAAAAAGCCTGATGTTAGAACATATGAATCTAAGTCCACCCTGTTACGATGTGTGTTTATTTAGATTTTTATGGAGCATGTAAGGTATTCATGTATTAGTTTATCTTCCCTGCTTCTCAGGTTATACTTTGACACAGTGTCAACAATAAGATGGTTTAACAAGTTTTTACTTGAATTGCCTTTTTAAACTGTTCTATATCAGAAGCAGGAAACAAAGTGCAGAAATAAGATGTTCACAGATTTTGAAGACCATGGCCTTGCATGTAAATAACTGAGAGAAATGTTCAGTTTGTAGAAATGTGTGAAGACATGTCAGAAACGTAATCTTAACCTACCACCTGCACTAAAAGGTACCAACTGAGTTTTCTACTTAACTCTACTTAAATACAGGTTTAGGTACTTAAAAAAGGTTTAAGATTGTAAAAGTATTTTACTCTTGATTCTTGAGAATATTGGAACAGTCATTCAAAATAGGGAGATCATATTAAACACATGGGGAAAGATGGATGGTAGTGTTTGCTAACTTTGGCCAGAGAACCTAACACCATGTTTTATTATATCAATAAAATCATACAAACATGTTGCAAAGTTTTGACTAACATGCAAACTGACAGAGTGACTGTCTAGCAATAATTCCTACTTTCGTAAGATTGTTAAATACAAATCTAGTCAAAATGTCATTATGGAGTATAGTGTGTGTGTGGAGGTCTGAGGACTGATGATGATTTCTGTGGTCAGGTGAACAAGTCAGTCTCCTCACCTGTTGATTCCACATGAACATGCCTGGAATGCTCTCTCTCTCTCTCTCTCTCTCTCTCTCTCTCTCTCTCTCTCTCTCTCTCTCTCACACACACACACACACACACACACACACACACACACACACACACAAGAGGTTACAGTCAGTGGTCCTGCTCTCGTCTCACTTTTGAAAGAGCAGCTGTATCAGGACTTCCCTGATACATGCCCTCTTTGCTTCATTTTAAGTTTGGGTCTTACTCAGAAAAAATGTCAGGGGGCTCTCTAGCGTCTGGCTCCTTTGTGGTAGCAGACTATGTGGTGTTTGCGTTCATGCTCGTGGCGTCCTCTGCGGTCGGGGTCTTCTATGCCTGGGCTGGCAGGGGCCAGGGAAGCTCCAGAGACTTCCTAACCGGGGGGCGAGGACTGACAGCTCTGCCTGTCTCCCTCTCTCTGACCGCCAGCTTCATGTCAGCCATCACAGTGCTGTCCAACCCAGCTGAGGTAACATTTAAGGCATCATATAATTTGTTTTCCAACCTGCAGGATGTATTTTTTTCAAGTATATAAATTGGTCAGAATGAGATTTCATGACTTGTAACAAAGACATAATAGTAAAATCAACGAGACATATGGAGGACATAAGGTCAAAACTGTGATGCAAGGTTATCTACCCAAAGCAATTTTTATGATTTTTTTTATCATAGACTCATGTAAACATAATACCATATTCTGCGTACAATGAAAACATAAGTGAGAAAACTTTGCATTATACAATCATCAAGAACGGCTTAAATCATTTTGATTCATATCATCTTTCTAGGTGTACCGCTATGGAGCAAATATTGGATTTTATTCTCTCTCCTATGTTATAATGGTGACGGTCACGTCTGAGGTCTTTCTCCCAGTCTTTTATAGGCTGGGCATCACGAGCACATATGAGGTGAGTTTGAAGTATTTTATTCTGTATGTTCTGCTTTATTCAAATTCCACTAAATATTTCTTAATTTTTTATTTACCGAAAACACAAGAGAAACTTGTAGGTAATCATGAGTCCTTTAGGGGAAAGGCTCGGCAGATGCAGGTTTGTCATATAGGTCAGCAAAAGAAAAAGGACTTTGGAAATGGTAGGCTAATGAGAAAAATCTCCCGAGTTCAATTTGATGAAAAGGGGGCAAACACTGCTGCTCTAGGTTTGAAGCAAAGTAGGACATTTTGGCTTCATTTTTTGAATTGCTTGTTTAATAAAACCTGAGTTGAATAAGCAGCAGTGATTGGTTCTTTGTATTGCAAATCTTAATTTACACTGTATATCCAGGAACTACCTACACAGTTCATACAGTTGGCTTTTTTTATCTTACTCTATGCTCTTTTTGTTTTAGGTGACACATTACTTGACATTCTTTGCATCCTGCTTGGATACTAACTTATATTTAGATATTTCAGTATGTGTAGTCTCTGCAATGAAAATAATAATAATAATGATAATAATAATAATGATAATAATAATAATCATAATAATAATAATAATAATAATACATTGGTTTTATATAGCGCTTTTCTGAAAACTCAAAGACGCTTTGACAAAAACATAAAACAAAACAAAAAACGACGAGGACAGTACAACGAAGAAGTAATGTAGGGGGGGAGTTAGTGGTTGTAGGCAATGATGAAGAGGTGAGTTTTAAGGGATTTCTTGTAGGAGGTGAGTGAGGGGGAGTCTCGGATGTTAATAATAATAACATTGAAGCTAATGAAATCTTATTGACATACTGACTTTTTATGTTGCCATTTCTCTCCAGTATCTGGAGCTACGTTTCAACAAAGCAACCCGCCTGCTGGGGACTGTGCTCTTCATTGTCCAGACAGTGAGTTCGAAACCAGTCAGCACATAATCTCTGAGGGTAAAACAGGTAACCAGACACCAGAGGGTATTTTAATATCTGTATAATTTTTGTATGTCTGGAACAGATTCTATACACTGGAATTGTCATCTATGCCCCGGCTCTTGCTTTAAATCACGGTAGGCCTATTTTGTTTTTTTTACAAACAGCTGTCAGTTTAGGAAACATTCCTGCTTTAGGGCACTTGAAGCTGCTCGGTTTTGCTCCGTTGACTTTGACCCTCCTTCTCTCTGCAGTAACCGGTGTGGATCTGTGGGGTGCAGTTATTTCAACAGGTGTGGTCTGTACCTTTTACTGCACAGTGGTATGTAACAAACGAGGATCAACAGAAGTCTACTCAACATCTCACATGTGATTTGTAAATCTTTTGATGTATAGTAGACACTACACCTGTTCTTGATCTACTTTGTGACAGGGGGGTCTGAAGGCAGTGGTGTGGACAGATGTGATTCAGGTAGGCTTCTGGAAGGGTTCAAACATTACCAGTGGCTGATAGTGATGGTGCAGGGACTTTCAGTAATTATGTGTAACCATGTCAGGGATTACTTAGCATCTATCATAATCATTTTATGTGTTGGAATGCAAAACTCTTGGCTTTTTATGTTAGCAACAACTACTGTGTTTGAAATACAGCAGCTGTCAGCCACCACAACAAACAACTAAAAACACATGTAAAATGGCACATATTTATTTTTATTTATTTTAAAAATGTCAGCATTTTGATTTTGACTTCAAATTGATTCAGTATTACGCTTTATACTTCATATGTCCTCCCTTTGCACATCTAACAGAAACCATTTGTAAATCAGAACCAATTGTTGGTAAAGATTGGTCGAAAGATTGAAAAAGAAATGTTATTATCCAAATGTCTCCTTCCAGCTTGGTGTCATGCTTGCCGGCTTCGTGTCTGTCATAATCAAGACTGTGACAATACAAGGAGGGCTCCTCGTCATCGTTTCAGATTCACAACAAGGAGGGAGACTCAACTTTTGGGAGTGAGTATCATCAGGGTGTGAGCAGTGGAATGGCTTTAGATTACACACGTACCAGCAGGGGTACAGGAGCAGCATATTTGTGGCAGTTTTGCCAAAGTGAGCCAATAAGCCTATTATTGGCCCTCAGGAGACTAGATGTAATTAAGTTGAATAATAAAAATGGTACAATGCATTTGCTAAAAGTTCAGTCATATGTTTCTGCAATATGGTGTTTACGATGCTGAAAGATTCAAAGCCTTGGTTCAGTCTGTCTCTCTCGCTGTGTTGCTAAAAAAAAAACATGTAACTAGCTCAAGTGTTTTCATCCAAACTCTTCAGAAAGCTCTTGTCAAATTACTATACCACCTTTAAAAAAAAAAATAAGGCTCAGCTTAAGACTTGCATAAAGAACATTTAACATCTAAACCCTGAACAAGGGGGTTCCAACTCAACCCAATCCAATCCTACCCTTTCCTATTAGAGATGCACTGATTGGGAAAATCTGGGCCGACGTCGATGTTTGAAAAAACTATTTTGCCGATTCCGATTCCTTTTTTTGGTATAAGAATGCCACAATGCCACCATTTTCTCACCCATGTTTCACAATGCAAACAATTCAGTCTGTCCAACAGGTGACTTCTGTTCCCAATAAAAAAAACCTCTTCTCTCAATAAGTAGTTTGGTGAACAAGCATTAAATTGATTTGGCAACAAATGAACATTGGCTGCTGACATCAGTTCATGCCACATTATTTGTCGATGTCTGTCAACTGGACCAATGTCGGCCGATGCTGATGTTGAACCGATGCATCAGTGTATCTCTATATCCCATCCAATCCATTGGAATTTTATTTATATATAAAGTACATTTTGTAACAACAAAAGTTGTCCAACATGATGTACAATCAAACATAAAAATCATAAAAACACAATAAACAATTAGACTAACAGATAAACAACAGGAAAATAAAAAAAGGTTTAAGAACGATAGGAAATAAAATATAAAATACATCTCTCATGTAAAGGCAAAAGCCAAGGAATAAAAATAATAATAATGATAAATAAAAACAGAGTGATGAATACTTTCTGACAACAATTAATTAGAAGATATCACTGACATTCATGGGGCTCTCTCTTCTCCTTCCAGCTTTGACCCAAATCCTCTGAGGAGACACACTTTTTGGACCATAACCATTGGAGGAACATTTGTGTGGCTCAGCATCTATGGGATTAACCAGGCCCAGGTTCAGAGGTACATCTCCTGCAAGAGCATCACTCATGCCAGACTGTGAGTCCTGTTTGATAAACAGATCCATTTACAGTAACACCTCCTTTATTCCTTTTAGATTCATATTTTTTCTGCTGAAAGAAATCAATGATAAAGTTAAGGTATTGCATTGCTTATTTATCATAGTTTGCTTCCAGTCATCTCAAGAGGATTGAACTTCAGTTTCTAAAATTAGCTGAATTAGCGGGTGCATGCAAACATTTTTATCCTGTGTGATTGTATTAATTACATGTAATCATAACCTATTTGTGAACAACAAAACTCTATGTGTGTGTTTCTCTCCTTTTCCAGAGCTCTGTACATCAACCTGTTAGGCCTCTTGTGCATCTTGTTTTGCTCAGTGTTGGCAGGAATGTGCGTCTTCTCTGTCTATAAGACCTGTGACCCGTGGACAGCTGGACTGGTCGCTGCTCCTGATCAGGTATGATGGAGAGAGTAGCTGAAACCTATAGTGATCATGTCTTGACAAAACACACACACAAATACATGAGACATAAAGTTAGAGTCAGTGCCCTCTAAAAGGCTCTGCTTAGAGTGTACTGGGCTTCAATGTACTGTATGTCAATTTGAATAAAAGCATGCATTACACAACTCCAACTCCACCTGATAACATAATAATCCAGTGGCCCCCTTTCCTTTGCAGTTGATGCCGTATTTGGTGATGGACACTTTGGGAGACAATCCTGGCCTTCCTGGACTTTTTGTTGCAGCTGTATATAGTGGCTCTCTAAGGTGAATATTATACCTAACATTATAGTTAAAGCACACTGACAGAAAATAAGGTTGTCATTTTCAATCCTTATGTAAAAATGTTCTTGTGTATTTATTGTCCATTCCAGCACTGTGTCATCCAGCATCAATGCACTTGCTGCAGTGACAGTCGAAGACCTGATCAAGCCATACACTAACATGTCTGAGAAACACTGGTTCTGGATCTCCAAAGGACTGAGTGAGTGGTTAATCATATTGTGCAGTATTTAAAGGTCACATGTTATGCAAAATAAACCATGGTACGTAAGTGTACCTAGTCCGTCTACAAACCCCCCAATAAGGAGAAAAGTCCATCCTCTCTGTGTTTTTCCTGCTCCATTTTTCAGAAGATGTCAGCTCAAACAGGCCGTTTGTAGATTTTCCCTTCATGACATCACAAAGGGCAGTGGCCCCTCTCCTAGGTTGGGGACAGCTAGGTGTGTGTGCCCTCTTAGTCTGCATTCTCACTGTAAACAATAAAGGGCATGATGCGAGAAAGCCCAAGCCACCAAAGCCCTTCCAGAAGGGCTTGATCAAACACAGCTCTTTTATATTTAAAGCTACAGACGCAGAAACAGCCTGTTCTCAGCAGGGCTGAAATAGAGGGGATTTAAAGGCATGATCAAATAAAACATCGGAGGGGATTTTTGGCAAGAAACTTTACAGGGATGTTTCAACATGTTGAAAAGGAGTATAATATGTGACCTTTAAGAAAAATGAGTTGTCTGTGTAAAATTATGGTGCCAGAACTTGAATGTCAAATTGTTTCCCAATGCTGTTTGCAGGTCTTATATACGGGGTTATCTGCATTGGAATGGCTGGTCTGGCTTCACTCATGGGAGGGATCTTGCAGGTGGAGTGGATCAGTTAGAGTATCTGCTTTATTGCTGTTTGCACAAAATCACACCTATAGGATGATGTTTATGACTGTTAAGACAAATCAGTTTTATAGGCTATAGCAAGGTACCTTATTTGGAGTCCATGACCTGCAACTTAAGTGCTCTCCTTTTCTTTGTTCAGGCAGCCGTCAGTATACTTGGGGTCATTGGAGGTCCTTTACTTGGCCTGTTTTCAATGGGTATCCTCTGTCCATTTGCCAACTCCAAAGTAAGTCTTTACTAAATCATTTAATCATTTACCCTTTACCCTTTACCTTATCATTTAAAATTACAGCTTTACAAATGAATTACTCTCCAAGGATAATCATTTACCCTTTCAATTAATCATTTAAAATGTCCATTGACAATTGTCATTTTTTCTGGTCTGAATTTGCAGTATGGCTCTCTCAACTAGAACAGCACATTGTGTTTTAAAGTACTAAATAAAATTAATACGTACTTCCTTAAAATGCACATTTAAACTTCTTTGATGATTCAAATGTCTTCTAGGGAGCTTTGTCTGGTCTCATGTCAGGGTTGGTTCTGTCTCTGTGGGTGTGTATTGGTGCCCTGATGTACCCTCCCTCTCCTGAGCTGAGACGTCCGCTGTCATTGTCCACTGAGGATTGTAACTTCACCACTGATAACAATTTGAACTGGACCTTCACTGGTGTACCAACACTTCCCAGCACCAACACCACAGCGTCAGGACAGATCAGTCATAGCAGGTAGGTCTCTAACCACAAACTATTTTTTGTGATCAGCCATTGATGCTAAATGTAGCATAAGAATATCAGGATATTATCCAGTTAGTTCAGCAGTTCTCGAACTTTGTAATGTCAAGGACACCCATATAGCGCATGCCTCTGATGGGGACCTCCATCTTGCACCATTTCCTAAGCTCCGTGTACACAACAATGGCAATTATCAAAAAATTAACCATACAACTTCTTAATGTATTTCCTTTTCAATTTTCTCTTTTGTTATTCATTATTACATTCAATCTGTCTTTCTCCTGTTATAAATGTTCTCTATAATTCATCCAAACAACTATTAACAGGAATATAAGTAGTAGGAATTTAGTTAGTTGGGGTTAGGGTCAGGACCCCTGTTTTAATAAATCACACTTCATTAGATGTTGTATGTAACATTGAGTGTGTGTGTGTGTGACAATGAATCAAGACAAATGATCAAGGGCATTGGCAAGCAAAACTATTAGTTGATTTTACACCAGCAGCTTGTGTGCCAAACATGAATAAAATGTCTTATCTAAAAATCTGCAAGGGGACTACTTTTACAGAATTTTCTATATTGATGTTTTGTCTATATGTTTAAGATTTCTACTTCATTTGTATTACTGTATGTTTTTCTCCCTCCTTCAGGTCTCTGCTGGCTGATAACTGGTATTCTCTGTCGTACCTTTACTTCAGTCCTATTGGAACAATAACAGCTATTAGTGTGGGACTATTAGTTAGCTTGTTGACAGGTAAAAAGAATATATGCTGTTGCGTAGTTGTATGCTTTCCAAATAAGTTGATGCTCATGTATGATGATGATGAAGACATTGTTATAGATCTGTTTTTTTAATCTAGGAGGCTGGAATCTAAAGCTGGAATCAAGGCTTACATTAATGAAAGATGATACAACTTTATGTCATTTGGTCAAGTTTTTTAAAGACAAGGTCAGTACAACCACATTTAACTATGGGAATCGCAATCAACAAATAAAGGTGCTGACATCCTTTGTTGTGTCTTTTTCTTTTGAGGTGACAAGACAAACAGGCAGGCTGGACTTGACAAGGAACAGAGAGAAGATGTGTGACAACACTAATCCTACTTTCTGTGATGTTGAACTGAGCATAACGAAAAGCAGCATTCCCACATGAAATGCCAGCTCTTCTGTCAGACTTTTTCTGTGTTTGTTTGTTGTCATTTACACCGAAAGCATCTATCAAGGAGTTGAATTACAAAATAAAATGGTCTACAAAACTTTCCCCAACAGAAAATATCACTAATTTGGTTATTTTATTTGTGTACTTATGTTCAAATCCATTTTCCATTAGGCATCTCTGTGTGGAGTTTTTTTCCCTGTGTCTTGAAGATATTGATTTTATCTAAAATAGAAATCATGTCAGCCAGACAGAATTACTGCAACACTTTATGTACTTTATGCATCTCTCTGTAATCTTAAGACAAGGAGGTAAACATAAATAGTGTATCTACAGAGTGCATTTACATCAGTGGACAAATAATGTCTGGGTCTCAAAGTTGTATTTCACAATTGGCTTGCCTGTCTTTAACTTTTTTATTGTACTGTTGTAAATAAAGCTGAACCTTAAACCTTGAAACTGATTGGCCGGTTACGAGGTCACTCTTTTAAAAAGCACTGTCTGGTTGAATGCTCCAAACACTCAACACATGGATAACTCTCACTCATTTTTACTTCTGGTTTAAGTCTGACTCGTACCATCATGTCCGGGGATTCTCTGGTTGCTGGCTCCCTTGTGGTAGCAGACTATGTGGTGTTTGCTCTCATGTTGGTGGTGTCTGCCGCCGTCGGGTTCTACTACGCCTGGGACAGCAGAGGACGGGAAAGCTCCAGGGAATTCTTAACAGGCGGGAGAAGACTGACGGCCCTGCCTGTCTCCCTGTCTCTGACCGCCAGCTTCATGTCATCCATCACAGTGCTGTCCAACCCAGCTGATGTAAGATTGATACACTGCACCATATTCACAAAATTTAAACACACAGCAACATATTATTTTGCTTCACACCCCTCAGACATTATAGTAAACATATTACTACCTGAAGGCTTGGGCTCGCTCACTCCATGCCCTATTGTTTACAGTGGAAAGGTAGACTCAGGTCAGAACAAACACCTAGCTGTGGGAGTTTTCAGCTGCCTGGGGGAGGGGTTACATCCCTTTGCCTGTTTGAGCACACATTTTCTGAAAAGTTGATCAATCAAAATGCAAAGAGGATGGACTTTCCTCATAATTTGGGGGGTTTGTAGACAGGCTGGAGACACACATTAGTGTTAGAAAACCATGGTGAAATGAATGTTGCATAATATATGACCTAGCAGTTATTCTGTGGCAAATGTGTTGTAAATGTGGCTAGTCCTGCTGAAATAATAATCTTTCTACAGACATAATTTCACTTCATGCTAATTTAACAGAATAGATTAAATACTAAGATTTTTTTATGATGACTTTTAAGCATAGAAAGAAAAGGCTTACCGTGCACTGAAACATTTACACTTTAGCAACTCAGCTGTGGCTGATAAACAAAGGAAGCACCCAGTTTTATACATTACAGAGCTGATATTTGCCTCAGAAAAAAACTGTGCGGAAAGCTCACAAAATGTTATTTAAAAGTAATGTATACTATTGTGTGTCCATTCCTTGGTGTTCTTATGATTCAGAGTTCATATGGCTTATAAGGGGAATATGACAAATAGCCATCAATCCTTTGCTTTTCTAGTTGCTGATCAATCAGGAAGTGGTAAACTGATTGCCATTTGTGAGACCTGCAACCAGGAGCAGTACGACATTGATTACAGGCCCTTTCCGAATAGTCACAGTTTCAGTAGGCAGTACGTACTTTTCAGTATGGAGTTTCAGTATACTGAACTTTCGTGGTCATTCAGTATGCATTTTTTGGGTCCACCTCAGTATACTGGACATTTTAGTATGGATACTAACTTCCGGGTTTCATGCAGTATGGATCGGATGCGTACTTTCAGGAAATGAATTGTATTTTACCACCCACAATGCTGTGCGAAATTAAACGTAAATCTTCACGTCATGTGCGCCTCCAAATCAAAACAAACGAGCGTGGATTAATTGAATGCATTTTTAATCTAGAGTTAAAGTCCCGACTGAAATCACTACTTTAAATTAACAACAGAAAATATAACAAATATCTGCATTATTATAAAACATTTCTCCCTCTATTTAAATAATGATTTCATTATTTAAAAGCTTCTTTATTGGTTTATTTTACTTTATATTCTGTATATTACTGTCTTTCATTTCTACTTTTCTTTATGAAGGCTACTGTATGTTATTTAGTTATTTAATCTGCTTTTTACTTGATTTACATTGTGATATTGTTTTTTGTTTACCTGACTGTATATGCGCATTACTCTTCTTGAATAAAGCTAAACAAAAAAAACAAAATAAAAACGGGTGAATGCGGCCAGTTCTGGAAATGTAAATGACGTCACTTCTATACTGAATGAATCAGAAGAAGTAGGAACAAATATCTGCCTACTGTGCGCGCCTACTGAATAGTAGGTACTAACAGTATACAGCACGGATAGTAGGTACTGCCTACTGCCTACTGCCTACTGAAAGCTTGAGTAGGTACTTGGCAATTTGGATACAGCCACACACTTTGAGTTTCTATTCTTAGTCTGACGTCATGATTCGTTACTCTGTGTTAAAAGATTAAATAGAGAACTTTACTAATAGAAAAAAATCCTTGCTTTGTAGGTGTACTGCTTCGGAGCCATCTTTGTTTTTTTTTCACTGGCCTATACATTGTCAATAATGGTCGTATCTGAGGTTTTTCTCCCAGTCTCCTACCGACTGTCCATCACCAGTGCCTATGAGGTAAAAGAGGTTCTGTTTTTAAGGTTAGTGTTAGATTTAGTTTGCAGAAATAAGCATCCTGTTCTACCACTATATCTGAATCTTACTGATTTCATATTTAGCTGCTGTAGCTTGTTGTGGTTGAGCTTAGCTTTGAGGTATTAAACGCTGCTGTTTATTTTGGTTTATAACATTTCATACGATACTGTTGAATTTAGAAAAAATAGCATTTGTGATAAATGTGCTTCACCTGATCAAATGTCACACGATAATTTCCCTTGATTATGATTAAGTGTTTTTACATACACTGAAATAAATGGTACATAAATCTACATTTAAAAAAATTTCTTATATGTTTGTGTTTATTTTTTCCAAGTACCTGGAGATGCGTTTCAACAGAGCAACACGTCAGATCACAACAATACTCTTTATTTTCCAGGCAGTAAGTAAGAAGATGGTCAAAATATTAGTACTGTTTTTCATCAATTTTGCATCTGAGGCTCATTTATGTTTGTATTTCTATATGTCTGAATTACAGATCCTCTATACTGGAATAGTCATCTATGGACCAGCTTTAGCTTTAAGCCAAGGTTTGTTTGTTTTTGTTTTTTAATCACAGCAGTCAGACAAAGTCAGTCAGGTTCAGAATTTAAACACAATTCCAACATGATGACACAAACTCTGATTGGTTCAAGGGTCATTAAATGAGCACTGTGTGAAATCCTGTTCTCTCTGTCTCTCTCCAGTTGTGGATTTAAATCTGTGGGGTGGAATTATTTCCACAGGAGCTGTCTGTACTCTTTACTGCACATTGGTTGGTACATTTATACAAATATAACACAGCTTAAATGATTTTTACTCATAGACTGTAAGCAGAAATGGGAACAGCCTCAATTGTCTGAGGTCCAAACTGCACAAATCTTCACTTAATAAATTTGATTGGTTAAAATATATTTGGGTCCCCACTCCCATGAAGGACTTGGTGGTGGGTTAGACCTAGACCAGTTGAGAATCAGTGATCTACTCCAACCCATGGTCAAATCAAAGGATCCAAGTTCAAATCTCCAATTGTACTTGAGTAATATCTCACAGGGAGAGAACTTTCCTGAATGTTTGATGTGCTTGATGTCTGAGGCTGGATTATCTAAAGGAGATACCATGGTAACATCATTATATCTACATTTTTATAGGGTGGACTGAAAGCTGTGATATGGACTGATGTGTTTCAGGTAAAATTCTGGATGACAGAAATACAAAGGAAAGATTATCATGTTATTACTGTAAATCATTGTTGTTGTACAGCAGTGCAGCCATTTACAAGTAAGAGCAATGAAAGCATATAGTGACAGAAATATATTTAAAAAAAAGTGAGGATATGTTAGCTAAATTCTGTCCAAATCACAACCATATTGACTAACTGAAAATACAGAGGATACATAATACATCTGCCTTGTAACATAGCTTGAAATAGCTTAGTGGAGTTAAACATATTTAGGTTACTAAACCAAAAGTGTCTTGATTTTATTTCCCAGATAGGAATAATGATTGCAGGCTTCTTATCTGTGATAATCAAAGCTGTGATCTTACAAGGCGGAGTATCCACCATCATTTCAGATGCACAACAGGGAGGGAGACTCAACTTCTGGGAGTAAGTATGATAAAGAGAGCAATGCTAAGTTTCAATGTCTTTACACACTGACAGAGACAGTGGGTGTGATCATACATGCATTGGAACTTTTATTGAGTAATGGACTGGGAAGGCAATAGTATCTGACCATCAAACCAGGACAATAACTCTAACAATAACAACATCTGACAAAAACCATGCTTGTTTTGTGTTTCACCAGCTTCGACATAAACCCTTTGAGGAGACACACGTTTTGGACCATAACAATTGGAGGAACGTTTGCCTGGATTGTTGTAAATGGGACTAACCAAGCCCAGATTCAGAGATATGTCGCCTGCAAAAGCATCACTCACGCCAGAGTGTGAGTCACATTTTATTAATGAGCTGTGACAGAAAAGATGTCTTGTTTGCTTCTGGTTTTATTTCACCTTGTTTTTAATCTCTTCTGATACCTGAAAAAGAAAATTGTGAAAAATAGATAACAAATCCTATGTATACACATTCATCACTCACCACTGAAGCAGCAGCTGGAGAAATCTGGGGTTTAGTGTCATGGCCGAGGACACTTAAAAATTTGTAATGACAGCTGTGGCTTTGTATTGAATAGAATCATATCATCAGCATAAAGTGATATATTCTATTTTTATGAATCTGTAATAATGTTTAATCTTGAGTCTTCTGGTACCTGAGCGCGTAGCAGGGCACACATCACCAGATAGCTAAACACAAGAACTTGACTGTAGTAATGCAAAGTTTAGCTTCAATGTAGAGAAAATGTCAAGTGCATTTCACGCTTGCACGCTTGTTTAATTAAAGACTCAGCTTTGTATCCAGCCGAGTAGTTCTTTATCATGTAAAACTGCAAATAAAACAACACAGAATTGCTCCTTTCAATATCTTCACAATAAAAATGAAATAAAATAAAATTTGAGCATATAATATTGCTATGGCCAATGATTAACTAAAATACTTAAAAACAAATCTGAGCCAAGGCATACACAGGAGGATGGCGCTGGATAGACAGGCTAGTTTAGCTGAACATACACTCTCACAAACGGCTGACATGAACTGACTGATCCCGTGTGACTCTTAAGGGCCAATCACAAGAGAGCATCTATTCTAACACAAATAGACTTCTTTTCAGAATAAAATAACCTTAAATATGTTACATTACATTGAGTGTAATTTGTAACCGTGACAGCCTCTGAGTTTTAATTACAGTCCTGAACTAAAAGGCTAAATACGAGTGTTCAGTTATAGAAACTTGATTCATTGCATGACCAATGAAGTATGCCTGTTACGGATGGAAGGAAAACAAGGGAGGTGGACCCAAGTGCAGAAACCAAAAATATTTAATTAAAGAAAGAGGCCAAAGGTAACAAAACTTAATTTCAAAAGTTCAACAAAAAACACAAGGATCAAAAACAGGGAGCCACAGAGGATCACAAGCAAAACTGACAAACCAACAACATACAACGAACTGACACAGAGACTAAATAGACACAGGAGTAATCAAACACAGGTGAGACTAATGACACAGGTGAAGACAATGAGGGCAATCACACTGGAGGGAAATACACAGGAAGGAATGGACACAACACTGAGGACAACTACAAAATAAACCAGACCTTCAGGCGAACTGCCTGGAGGCAGGGCACATAGCCCGGAAAGTTCAGGTGGACAGCCTAGAGGCAAGGGACACCAAACACAGGGAGCAGTTCGGGTGGGCGAGGACGGGTTCCCTTAAAAATATCCAAGTGGCTGCCTGTCCAAGGAGACTGCTCTTTTATTGCAGTGCTCCTGGCCAAACGAAAAATTTCATGGAAATAACCGAAAAAAGGATCCATTCTTTCCAAGGTTTCTGCTGGGTCCATTGTTCTGGTCAGTTCGTTCTGTTACAGACGGTTGGAAAACAAGGGAGGTGGACCCAAGTGTAGAAACCAAAAATATTTAATTAAACAAAAAGGCCAAAGGCAACAAAACTTAATTTTAAAAGTTCAACAAACAACACAGGGATCAAAAACAGAGCCACAAAGGCGCACGAGCAAAACTGACATATCTACAACATAAAACGAACTGACACAAAAGAAAGAAACACAGAGACTAAATAGACACCGGGGTAATCAAACACAGGTGAGACTAATGACACAGGTGAAGACAATGAGGGCAATCACACTGCAATCACAAATAAAATACATGAAACTCTGAAGACACACAGAACTGAAGAATGAAACAAAACACACTAGAACATAAAGAAACACTAGGATATGAAGTTACAAAAATAACACATGAAACACTAACCTAGAAGACACACAAAGGAAACAACACCATCAGACAAAAATGAGAACTTAAAAACCACAAGAAAACCTAAACTCTGAAAATAAGAAACCAAATCATGACAATGCCAAGCAGGCCTGTTTCTGCATCCAGACTTAGTAATTACTCATCAGCTTTTATAGTTTTGTCATGCCGTAAATGTGTCTGTGATGTGTTTTGTCTCCCATTTCAGAGCTCTGTTCATCAACTTGTTAGGTCTTTGCATCTTTTTGGCATCCTCAGTATTTGCAGGACTGTGCCTCTTCTCTGTCTTTAAGAACTGTGACCCTTGGACTGCTGGACTTGTTTCCACTCCTGATCAGGTACACAGACACACACAGACACACACACACACACTCCACACACACTCCACACACACTCCACACACACTCCACACACACTCCACACACACTCCACACACAAAGAACTGTAGAGAACTCCTCAACATGTTTGTCCCTTCCGTCTTTCTCTACAGCTGATTCCATATTTGGTGATGGGCACCTTGACAAGCCATCCTGGTCTTCCTGGACTATTTCTTGCTGCAGTATATAGTGGCGCCCTAAGGTAATTAATCCATAATTCATTACTTTTGGTGCTTTTGTTTTTGTCATAAAATAATGGTTCTTGCTTGTTTTCTGTACCTTTCTTTGTCATTTAAACTCCAGCACAGTGTCTTCCTCCATCAATGCACTCGCTACAGTGACACTGGAGGACCTGATCAAGCCGCACACTAACATGTCTGAGAAACACCTGTACTGGATGTCCAAAGGACTGAGTAAATGGATTGTCCTTGTTTTTATTATCAGTTGACTATCATCCCAAGTTAATGAGTTAACCCACATTTTCTGTCATGTTGTGGTTTCAGGTTTTTTCTATGGAGTTTTATGTATTTCCTTTGCTGGACTCGCCTCAGTCATGGGAGGGATGATGCAGGTACACCGCCAATTTTGACAGTGCTCAATTTAGAACTAATTCAAACAATTTCTTGGGATATTAAAAACCTTTTGTGTTACACAACGGCTAACTCAAAAACCTGCTCTATATAGCTAAGGTCCTACTCCTAACTGCACATTTGTGGATTATTTGTATTATGTGTTTATGAGGCTGAACTGTGTGTCTCCTTAACAGGCAGGTGCCAGTATCAGTGGTATCCTTCAAGGTCCTGTACTCGGTGTTTTCCTATTGGGTATTCTTTTCCCGTTCGCCAATTCCAAAGTAAGGGTATTCTTATAATATTGATTTTTCCCTTTTAGATCAACTATTTTAACTTCAAAATAACTTGTTGAAAACAAAATGATTTTCCCATTGAGGATTAGAAAGTATGTCTTCTTCTGTTTGTCAATTTATGTAGAATCAACCTGACTATGTCTTGGTGCGGAGACAGGGGTCTCAGAATACTGAACTATGATTGATTATTTGCATTGTCAGAGGTGGGACAAATCAACAATTGTGGCTGTGTTGCAACAGGCTGTTAGGAGCTTTCTTTATATTTAAATGTGGAATTTCCTTTTGTTAGAAATATAAATTGTGACTTTGGACATACTGTACTTCTTCTTTGAGTCCTTAGAAAATCAAGCTGAGAGGATTTTAATGTTGCCACTCTGTGCTATTTTGGAAAGTTAAAAAGCTATTCAAAGGTTATATAATACCTTTTTTAATAGGCCCTACTTGAATGTAAGTAGTTAAAGCAGTTGTGATAGTTGAGATAGAGAGTGTACATATTGTTTGTTTGTGTTTTTATGTTTGTGTGTGGGCACATTTACACTTCAGTCCACCCCTGCAGAAGTCAGTGGCCTAGATCAGCCACCCAAGTCTGACAATGCCTGGTACCTTTTAGGTCATGAAACTTTTTTTCATGTGTTTTGGTTTCACTGTGGTTGTGATTTCTTTATCACATTAGTAAATTTGGTGATTGATAATTTTCTTCCTTAAATGTTAGGATTATTTTGTCTTGATTGGAGTTTTTGAATTAATCATCTGTTTTTTCCAAAGGGAGGATTTTTAGGTCTTGTGTCAGGGTTGGTTGCGTCCTTATGTGTAGGTGTTGGCTCTATTATCTACCCTTCCCCACCTTCCATGACCCGACCTCTGCCACTGTCCACTGAGGGTTGTAACTTTACAGGAAGCTTCAACTGGACTACCACTGCTCCACCAACAGAACCGAGCTTTAGCATCACTACTCTCAACAGTGATGGCGGGTAAGTGTGTAATCGACTGTAATGACTGATAGAATTACAATATGTGAAATTAGATGGGACAAACAATTATATTGGGTTTATATTAACACCATAGTCAACTTTCTGTTTTTAGTCTTTAAAGTGGTGGACAGTAACTTACCGAATTAGGTGTCTCAGTACAGTACCACTTACCACTACTGTAACAATGAATGTAACATTTGCAATCAAGGTTTGAACTACCAACAATAAAAAATAAGAAATTACAAATTAAAACACTGCATCAAACCCCTCTCTCCCCACCCATCTCCCACCCTAAACCTGTAAGGCTCTCTTTTTCTGTGATTTTGTAATTGATTGTATTAATACAACTCATATCCTAGAAAATCCAAAGTTTTGTGTCCTGTTTTTTTTGTATCCTATTGTCTTTGAAGTCAGTGCTATGGTATGTTTCCAAAATGTTTTTATTATAGCACAGTTCATTTGAAGAAGATCACCATTGGTTGTTTTACAAAACTTGAACATTTCTGATGAAAAGTCACAAACACCTCAACCCAAATACATTCTCCACACGGCGTTTTTCATCAGAATTTCTCGCTCATGGTTTTATTTATGTTCTATTGTAGATTTCTTTACTGAACAAATATGGGAGTGACACAGACTAACTTAACATGGTGATCTCCTGAGATGTCCAGCTCATCCTTTTGACATCTGTGATTTCCTGTTATTTAGTAAACATCTTCACGAGACTCTTGTAAAGGAGGGAGCACCAAATAAAAGGTTAATGCGGTGCAACCGATTGAGGTCTACTTAATTCTTATTCCTGCAGATTTTCCATCATCAGCCCAACCTCGACAAAACCTCTATGTTTGTCTATATCACTGCTGGAGTGCTCAAACTGAACATCACATATATAGGAATTTCCAAAATGTCACTTCTTTTTTATACCTCATTGACATGAACTGTTCTTCCCTCCAACAGACATCCAGTGGAAGGAAACTGGCACTCTCCTTCTTATCTGTACTTCAGTCTAATTGGAACTGTAGCAGCCATTAGTGTGGGGCTGATTGTCAGCCTGATTACAGGTGCATACATTTTCTCGTTGAGTGGAGTATTGGAGTCAGATCTGTCTGTGAACTTGTCCTTTTATTTTTTATGACCTTGTGTTATTTTTTTCAGGAGGCTTGAGTGAGAGGGTGGATTCCAGGCTTACATTATTAAAAGAAGATACAATTTCCTATCACCTCTTCAAGCTTTTCCTCGACAAAGTGAGTGGTGCAAAAAGGATAACTACTGTATAAGAAGCTACAGACTGATGACATCTGCTGACTTCTTCTTCTTCTTTTGCTTTTGAGGTCATGAGAAGAAAAGAGGGTGTCTTCCCAACGGAGAACTCGGAGAAGGAACTTGGGAACACAAATATGGCTTTCTGTGACACTGAGATGGACTTAAAAAGCAGTATCCCTGATAACACAATGAATGTTAGCCATTAAATGGTTTAGCGCTTTTCTAGTCTTCTGACTACTCAAAGCGCTTTTTACGCTGCATGTCACACCCACACATTCACACACTGATGGTAGAGGCTCCTAAGTGAGACCATCAGAGGTAACTTATCCCATTCATGCACATTCATATGCCGGCAACGCAGTGTGGCTGCAGGAGCTGGGGATCAAACCCTGGACCTCACAGTTGAGAGACGACGACTCTACCAACTAAGCCACAGACGCCCCTATATTTACCATTACAGTACATGATAATATTATACTATTCGTCATGTGCTTTTTTTGTGATGTAAACTGAAATACAACAACAGCATCGGCATCACTAAACAGCATAACCAACACAACTATCTCCCCCGTGACTTCAATTAAGAAGGGACTTGGCACTGGGGACAAAAGAGTGCCTGTATCTGTTGATATATACCTATACCTGTTATCAACCGATCAAAAAATCAATCTTTATTTGTGTAGAGACAATTCACAACAAATGTTTTCTCAAGACACTTTACAAAAAGAGTAGGTCTATACTTTATACTAACAATAAAATCTTCTTTAAAAAAATGGCCGTTGTGTAAAAAATAATGTGATTATTTACAACATTGATGAGAGCATTAAGACATGAAACATGATAATTGTTGAGTCGATGTTTTTGTAAAATGATATGCCCATTTTGAATTTGATGCTACAGGTTTCATGTTTACCGCCCTGTTGCAAACAAATCTCTGTAGTTCTGACAGTGGAATGTTTTACTTCATGTAGTCAGAGGCGTTTCTGGATCTGGTTTATACACAGTTTCCTCACTGCATAGGAGAGAGCCAGCTAGCATTTATGAATGAGGCGACAAACTGAGTTCAACAATAATATTTTTTAGAAGTGTTCTTAAGTCCATGCTGTGATGTCCACTACAGAATTGGGTTTGTTTGAAATGCAGTGCTGCCTCAGGGCCTAAAGATCACAGCCACCTATTAGTTCTCGGCCTTGTCCTCTGAAGACCGCGATTACTTCTCATTCTCTGAATCTTGTAATGCCATCATGTACTGTGGACAACAAAACCACCATATTCAAATTAATATGCATTTTTTTATGTTAAAAAGGATTATTCTTAAAGTGTTTTGCACTAGTTGTTGAGTGATGAGCCCCTCCTCATCTTTACATCATAAAGATTCATCCTTGCTTCGATGCTCATTATCCCTAATCATGTTTCTAACCTTTTGCCAGTTAACCTTATAAGAAGTTAGATGTTCTGTCAGCTGTTTTATTTTAGCATCTCACAACTTTCCGACCTTTTGTCAACACTCTCCAAACTCTTCTCAAGAGGGTTTACAGCATCCGTTTCAGTTATATGTCTTTGTGCTATTTTCAATCTAACATGGGGTTACATTTTTTTGCATTCTGTTTCTATTTAAAATTGGAAAGATTACATATCATCCCAACTTCTGTGGAAATGAATTCTTGTTACAAACTTGGACATTTTCATTTAAAAAAAATATTGCTGTTTGTTTTTGTTTAATCAAATGTATGAAGTAAAGAAGAAAAATGTGGATAGGAGTGTTCACCTTGTCTGTCTGCATAAGAATACCATTGGTGACCCTTAGTAATGCTGTCTCCGTGCTGTGTTTATTACAAAAATCGGAATTTATCAGAGATGCAATGGCCTTCTACATATTTTAGGAGTTGGTCAGAAACAAGTTTTTCAAGGATTTTGGAGAGGAATTGGAAGCTTTGATACTGGTCTGTAATTTTCTACAAGTGCAGGGTCTAGAGAAGGTTTCTTTAGTGAATGCTGGCAAATTTATGCATCCAAACATGAAACTTAACACAAATGATAGCTCAGATATTTCACTAAATTGGCATGTGCTTGTCTAAAATGGTTTTGTTCTCCATTTGAAAACTACATAGTGTTGGTCTGTAGTTAATATCTAATTTTAGTATCTGTGAGAGTATGAGGAGAGAACAGTGTGTACTCTCATCCTGGTCCCAAATCTGACTCAGTGTACCTGTCTGGAATGCTGAAATGAGGACACAAGCACATAAAAACACATTTACGAGCTCAGTCATGACCTTTTTGTTAGGCTTCTCATTGTTGAGTAAAATATTAACCAAGTGGATGTACTCATACTGGTGCTGCCTGCTTGTGTTGGGGACAGGGCTCACAGAGGGACAGATCTATCTATCCAGTCAAGTGTGTTGATTTATGCTTTTTATAATGATATTATTATTATTATTTTTTTTTTATGCACAAAACTTACAATATTACAAAACCTGGCTGTTTGAAAAAAATCTTATCTAAATCATTTTGTAGATCGGTAAAAATAGATTTTGGGGATTTTGGACTTTTACATTCTGTGACATTTGGCTGAATGATCTTCCTTTCTTTATTTTTAAGTTCTAGCTACTTTGGCTCATTTAACATTCTATGGCAAAATGTTGGTTAACCTGGAAATTAATGTCTTATGAGGTAATATAACTTAAATATTAAAATTCTCATGTTTTTATTATTTCATGCATGATATTATGCCTGCACGCACGCGCACGCACGCGTCTGTAATTGGAACGTAATGACATAACCAGGGTACCCCTATATAAGCGTTGCCAATCAACGTTATTTTCCCCTTTTGCATTTGAGATTGACAGAGAGTAACGCGAGTTGACCCAGTGCAAAAACCTGAATACGAGAAAGCTGTTTTTTGGCGAAAGCTAACATATCTTCTGCAGAACAAACTTTTCTTTGGTGGATTACTTCTGACAAGTGGATAAGTTTTCATCAATTTAAGAAAACATCTGGAGAAATGACTCTTCGTTGGACGAGATCGCCGGCGCGTGAGGAGCACCTGCTGACCGGAGCTGACCTTTCTGACATCGACGGTGGAAGTAAGTAAACCTGAAAATTAACTTTATATTCATAAAAATGTAACACAAAGTGTAGTTAAACCATTTAAATGTTCTTACCAATACAGTATTACCATATTTTATTAAGTTTAAGCTTAAAATATATGTTTAATATATGTAAACCTTACTAAGAAACCATTTAAAAATTAATACAGTCGTTTTCTTTGTAGATAATCTTGTATTTTGATTTCGTAACTCTATTAAATGTCCCGGGAAAATGTGGAGAATGTTTTAACAATGTCGTGGTGATATAAACACATTTTAATTTAAATTGAGGGGGTTCATTTGATGTAAAATTGTTGTTGAAAGTTTGCTTTAAAATGGCGACTGGCCACTTTTTCGAACAATCACAAAATCTGTATTTTTTTTTATCACCATGGAGACGGTGGAATTAGTTTGAGGGCTTACGTCAGTAGATGCAGAACGTACAGATGTAAACAAAGCAGAACGACTTCCTGTTAGCCAAATTTAACCATTTAAAGCTTCATGATTAAATGTCAATAAGCCACTGTCTGTGGGAACTGTAATTTATGAGAACAATTAATATAGTTTTGTAAGGATTACAGGGTGTAGAATTATTTTAAACTATAAATTGATATGATAAAATAAAGGATACATTCTTAGCTATACAACCATTAGAGTCCTAATATATCCATTTTTTTAATTACACCTGTCGATTAACCTCTATTTCTAAGTCTGAATTTATGGCGGTATATAATAACAGATGCTTTTCACAGCTTTTTTGATGCAGTCAGAAGAAGCTAAAGCTAGTTATCAGATACTCTCATTAATTCATCTAGTGATGGAAATAAAAATGCTTTTTGGATTCAGAAGAATCATGTTGTAAGCACATAGGCATGGTGTAAAATATGCAGGACAGCAGATCGACATAGAAACAGTCAGTTATAGCTGATATTATGCACATCTTTCTCATATTGTGCCCGCTGGTGTTTCATGCACAGCTGCAATGTCTGAGCTATATACCAATGTGCATTTATAGTTTTTTGGATGTCCTCATATAGGTCATCCAGTGAACAAGCAAATTAAAAAAGGATTTGGATGGAAATGGAAAACCATAAAGTCGTACTTTCGGCTTGAGCAGAGATGTAGGAAAGCAATCTCTCACAGATTCTGCGTTTGTTGTCGTCACTTTCTCAAAGTCTACATTTCACTAAAAGATCTGAGAACTTTATCTAAACTGTGGAGAGTTAGTATGTGTTTGTATATTTTTACAGTAAATTAAATACATTAGCATGTTCTTTCTTTTCTACATGTAGGACGCTCGCTCCTAGCCGACCTCATCGGATGTGCCGATGATCTCCTGCAGCGGATCAGAGCCCTCGACGACGAAGGTGACAACCTCCCCGTCTTCATCTCTGAGGAGATGAAGGACGGGGGCGATAAGGTAAGTAAACATGAGTCCTTCTGCCAGCTCCTTTCTTCTCACGATGAAGATGAGGACGATGAGGATGAGGTAAGTGAACTTGATGCCTTCTTCGAGCTCCTTTCTTCTGACGATGAAGATGAGGACGACGACGATGAGGATGAGGTAAGTGAACTTGAGGCCTTTTTCAAGCCCCGTTCTGCCGATGAAGATGAGGAGGATGAGGTAAGTGAACTTGATGCCTTCTTCGAGCTCCTTTCTTCTGACGATGAAGATGAGGACGACGACGATGAGGATGAGGTAAGTGAACTTGAGGCCTTTTTCAAGCCCCGTTCTGCCGATGAAGATGAGGAGGATGAGGTAAGTGAACTTGATTCCTCCTTAGAGCTCCTTTCTGACGATGAGGACAAGGACGAGGGAGATAAGGTAAGAGAACTTGAGGCCTTCTTCGAGCTCCTCTCGGATGATGAAGACGAGGTAAGTCTGCCTTTCTCAGATGATGAGGATGAAGACTTGGACCAGAGTCTTCACCTGTCAGACGGGGATGTCAGCACTGATGCCTCTGACTACGACAGACTGTCTGACTAGGAAGAGGACTATGGAAGATGTCGGGCCTCCCTCTAATGAACCTGTCCTTCTTTGCTTCCCGTCCCTCCTTTTGGGATTTGGTTGATGTTCCTCAGAGACTGATTATCAGGATCCTGCAGATTCCTGTTAGCATGAGCAGCCTGTGGAACAGCACCAGAACCTCCATCAGTGTCTGCAGCTCCCTCTTTATTTCAGAAGAGGAGATTTGAGCTAAAAGTCCTCAATGAGTAGCAGAAAAAGAAGCCAGGTGCAGGTAGGAAGTAACCCTTGGAGACCCAGGTCCATCAACTCCTTGACTCGGCTCTTCTGCAAAGAACCTGCAAGAAAGTTACCACCATGAGACAGAGGAAGCCTTATGATCATCATTTCCAAATATGTATTCTAAGTTATGTCAATGTAAAATTCTGTGACGTTGGTTTCCTAAAAAGGTAAATGTAGCTGCACCTGGCAAATGCGTCGTTATGAAAACACTAACAAAGCTTTTGCAAGTGTTTTTATCTCTCCTCTAGGGGTTCAGTGAGTCCAGTTTGAAGAGAAGACGAGATTGACAGCAGAGGAGGAAACCTGATCCAGAGAAATGTTGCATTCGTATTCAACACCAATGAGAAAAAGTAAGAATAAGAGTCAAAAGGTTTTCATGCCAAAGTGTTCAAAAATATTCACAACTCTTATTTTATTCCTCAGGGACTCTTCTGGTGTCGTTTCTAACATTGCTGTGAAGTCTTAAAGAGTGGATGTGGACACATCCTCTGTATCCTCTCCTTGAAGAGCATCGAGCGGTTTCTATGACAACAAGTAAAGGAGTTCCTCCTGCCCTCCAGATGAGAAGGATGGTCGACCGCAAGACAAAGTGGAGGATGATGGGAGATTTTTCATCAAACAACAAGTAAGTAAACCCTCACTTAGACTAAACTGTGCTACTGTATAACAATAGTTTCTAAGTGTTAGAAAGTAAAAATAAAACATTTTATCATCATTATCATTCTAAAAGATAGAGCCGACCGAGTGTTATTAATGTGTCACCTTAAAGAATAAAGTTAGATTAAATAAATAAAGAGGGATTTTAGATATGATTAATTTAGTGACTGCACATCAGAGAAATATGTTACATGTGTTCATAATGTCAACAATATTCACAACTTGTTTTTTTTTTGTTTATTTCTCAGGGACTCGTGTCTTTGGCATTCGTGTGACTCCTGTAGGAGGAAGTGGTCCAGACGAGCACAGCAGCAGTCCTTCACTTCCTGGGACACCTTTTTTTTTTTTTTTTTAATTCTCAAAATCTGAAATCAAAATGTAAATACTGTACCTAGACTGAGAAGATATAACAAGATCTACATCAATTTACTAAATATGAAAAAATACTAGACTTCGTAAAATACAAAGTTGTGTAAATAGAAGAAAAAAAACTAAAATAACACTCAAACTTAAAGAAAATGGAAAACTAGATTCAAATTCAAGATGCATTAATTAAGATATGAGTCGTAACAGAAGTTAAAGTATAGAAGTTGAAACATGTCAGTAAAATAATGAAAACAAAAGAGTCAGCAAGGAAGTTCATTAAGATCATCAGGATCGTAATAAAAATATTAAAGTTTTAGAAAAAAGATCTATATTGTAATATGAAAACCAATTAAGGCTACTAAACTCCCAATGAAATATGGATATTAGTGCAGAAAAATATGTTAGATTTAGTAAATAGTAATTAAGAATACATGAATGGTATAAATTAAAATAATGATGAAAATTATAATTAAAGTAAGAGATGATAATAATAATAAATGTTGTAATAATAAGAGTAAATTCATTAATACATAGATATACCTTTTGTTTTATCAACAGCTTGACTGGTTTCATGTCGATTTCAGAAATGATTCCAGTCTATTGGATTAATGAAAACATCAGACATGTAAACTTATTTGAATGTAATGTCCTCTTAGATTGTGTTAAACATGTTTTTAGTTTATTATAGAACTTTTCAATGTTTGTGCTCCTATGATTTCAAAACATTTAAACCAAATAAATCTGATTAATTCACTAAAATAATCACACTGACTTTGTTTTCTTTTGATTCATGGTTCTTTACGTATTTGGAAAAACAAAGCTTGATGTTAAACTGACACAAAGCAGCAGCGAGGATTAAAGTTCAGCTGTGTTTAAGTCAATCTCACATCTCCTGTGCAGTAAAGCTGTACCTTTAGAGTCATGCACCTTTGTGGCTGCGAAAGGGAGAGTCATCAAAAGTCAGGTCGGCCTCAGCAGGAGATCTTCTATTGCAGCTGCTGTTCATACATGTACTTCTACTGTAGCGACAACATGAGAACAAATGGTGAATGGACTTGAGCTTGTATAACGCTTTTCTAGTCTTCCGGAAAGCCTCTTAGAGAAGGAAAACTGAAGGACATGACGAAGGATTCAATTAAAAACTAAATTGGCATGTGCTTGTCTAAAATGGTTTTGTTCTCCATTTGAAAACTACATAGTGTTGGTCTGTAGTTAATATCTAATTTTAGTATCTGTGAGAGTATGTGGAGAGAACAGTGTGTACTCTCATCCTGGTCCCAAATCTGACTCAGTGTACCTGTCTGGAATGCTGAAATGAGGACACAAGCACATAAAAACACATTTACGAGCTCACTCATGAATTCTTTGTTGAGTAAAAAAATAACCAAGTGGATGTACTTAATCTGAGATTTGATTTAATTTCCTTCAAAATATCAGGGGACTTTTGGTAAATGCTCCTCTGTGGGAAAGTAAGTTCTCATACTGGTTCTGCCTGCTTGTGTTGGGGCCTTTACTACCCCTGGGTGGACAGGGATCTGAGAAGATTTGCAGGGGTCAGAGGTCACAGAGGGTAAGATCTATCTGTCCAGTAAAGTGTGTTGATTTATGCTTTTTAATATGGTATTATATTCTTTTTACTATATTTTATGCACACAATTTACAGACAAAACCTGGGTGTTTAAATTTATTTTTTTTAACTAAATCATTTTGTAGATTGGTAAAAATAGATTCTGAAGCTGGACTATAACATTCTGAGGCATTCGGCTCTATGATCTTACTTTGTGTTGGATCATTGTTGGGATGATCCAAAGATGGCCCACTAGCAGACATTATCATCCATCTGAGAAAAAGGGGACATAACATATGGAGGACCACAACTCTCGACAGTTTGAGCAATGGGGCGCTGGTGGTTAGTGAGCTGTAGTCCTTGAAGCGGGCAGCCCAGATTAGAATCCAACATGTGGCTCCTGTTACTGCATGTCATTCCCCACTCTCTCTCTTCCTGGTTTCCGCTTCAATCCATTGTCCTGTCTCTCGTATAAAGGAGTAAAACACATTGAGTAATACTTTCACCATTTAAGGATGAAGTATTTTTCATGGGAAAAGTACAACCATCACTAAAATGATTAAAATGATATTTACTGTCTTATGCTTTGAATGATGAAAATGTTCAATAGGATACAATAATTTATGAGATGGTGTTGGATGCAAAATAATTCTGCTGGACTGTTTTTATTGTGTAAAATTAAGTGGTGATCAGTTTGAAGACTGTCTGTGCTTTTTACAAGACGACAAGAGCTACACTGGTAAGGTTTAGCGCTTAGCTCATGTTAAATCATAACAGCAAAATGCATGAATTCATTAAAGGGCAGAGACTGTTTAAAGGTGCAATATACAATATTTATTAACCTTTACAATTCATTGTTTTCAATTAAGGTCTAGTAGCTTCATGGAGCAAGTCAGTCATTGAATAGTGCAAAATAAATCTTAATCTCAAAAATGCTTAAAAAAAGTTAGCTACAGTCACTCAATGTGATAATGATAAAAACATATGTCAAATTATCAATCAAAAAAATACAACATAAGAGTTTGTTGTTACTTATTAAGTAATGCTTCTTTCTAAATGTAACACAGGGCCAGTTCACTGTACTTCACCACAAAGGAGGACATAGTGATTTGGCTTAATTCAGTCGTTCAGGTGAATGAGTCTGATGCTTTTCAAAATAAAATGAGTAAATGAGAGTTCCACATAATTACTGTGAGAGAGTCCATTTAGGTGTAATATCATGTGGAACAAATAACATCAATGCATTGCTATAATATTAGATGAAATAAAAGTACATGGCTTATCTGGCAGCACACAAATTAAGATGCAAAACAGCTGTACAGGCTATCATTATTTTTCTATACAGTTTAAAAATGCACTAAATACATGTAGAAAATATGTTTCACCTCAACAAAAACTCTAAACATCCAGGCCACTATGTTTATTACAAAATCTTATTTCATCTTGACATTTTCACTTCATGGGATATTTATTATGACACAGGAAGTCAGTTATAAATACTTTTTGTTTTCTAATAGTGCATTAATAGTCAAGTACATTCAGTCTTTAAAAAAGTGTGACCATACATTTAAAACACAGATATACAAAATACAGTATCTGCTTTGATACTTACAGTTCATTACAATCTCACATTCACAGAATAAGTACAGCTCTGCAGCTGTAGAACTATGAAAACTGTCTGTATTCATGATCTGAAAACTCTTTTCAAAATGGACATGTCATTAAGCTCCCTTCATTAAAAACACATTTAACTAGACAGTGAAAATTTCCCAAAGGATCTAACTGTCTGCAACAATTGACTTGGGTTGGGAACCGGAGGGTCGCCGGTTCAAGTCCTGGTGCGGACCAAGTATGGAAGTTGGTCTGGTAGCTGGAGAGGAGCCAGATCACCTCCTGAGCACTGCCGAGGTGCCCTTGAGCAAGGCAAAAATAACAATAGATTTTTTTTACAATAAGTAATCAAGGCTTTCAAATGACAACTGTGACTAAGATCGTGTTTAAAACATCCATGATTTGATGGTCATGACAGGTGCACATGACCCGTATGTTCACCGGGGACCACGTGATGGACACCTATGCTATTTTTCATTGATGTTTCCGGTCACTGTAGCTGCACCCCCTTAAATCTCAGATGCACCCCAAGTCATTGTGTTCTAGAACCAGGCCTGTATTCAGTGCAATGAAATACAAAGTACAATCTGTACCAACTTCCTTAACATCACTTTTTGGCACTTCTTACACATAGATATTCCATTTCCATGCATGACAAGATTAGTTTTCGTCATCATATCCGGGCAGATGTTTGGAGCTGCCGTACAATGTGCACTGTATTTCATTCATAGCTTTATGAATGTGGAAAAAAAACATACATTTATCATGTAAATAAAAGCACAATGATTGTACTTACAGACTGCTTTTCATTGCAGAATGCTTAATTGTAGCTGTATTTTGTCAGAGAGTTTATTTTTTCGGTTCTTCATAATACTTCTTCTTCATGACTCGATATTTTCTGAGGAAATAGAGAGCCTCCAGTTCCTTGATGACGAATTCTCCTCGGGCCACCAGCTTGTGAATCTTTTCAGGGTCTGTTACGTCTTTGTTCTTCATGAAAGCTGACTTCAGACGCTCCCTGAAGTAAGATGCTCCTTGTGGGTATTCACGGCCAAGATACAGCAGCTTTCAGAGGATGAGAAACACATTTAAACATCTGATGCAAAGAAAACAATTTGACCTTGTGTGAATGTGTATTATGGACTACAACTCTTTCACTTACAGTTTTGTAAAGTCTTATGACCTCACCCCTTAAAGGGTTGGCCATGTCAGGAACGGTGACTTTACACTTCTGAAACGACGCGAGTGAGAAAGAGACATCTTAATAAAATAACAGCAGAGACAGGGACATGTGTATGCTGTGAGTGTAAGATGATAGTACTAAAACAACAGGACCCCAATGACAGAAGTGCTAATGTAGTCTGGAATCAGCTAGCTTGTTCGTTAGCATTTACACACTTCATAGCAGAATCTACGAACGACCATATTAAATTAATTAATCATATTTACACGTTGTCTAGATGAGCGGACTAACTCAAGCGGTGCGATAATGAAGACAAGTCTCCTTTCCTTTGTCCTCTAAAAGAGTAATGTCAGCAGGACCGTCTTCTATTTCACAGTCGTATATCGTTCATCTTTGTCGCAAATGCAAACAGATGACCACGCATGCGCAAGAGTTTCTATGGTTACCTGGACGCTTTAGCGCTTTCAAGAATGGTAAGTTTCCAATTTTTCCGAGTAAACTGCCAATGTTTGGTTGTTAATTTTGCCATATTCAATTGCTTCAAATCGTAGAGTTATACACAGACTTACTTTATAGCTTAGGGTATATTCACAGAACACAGAGGGCTTCAGATATAGCCTACTTACGTTTCCATACATAGGAACGTATAGGCTACTTTGGCATACTGCGTACTACTACTGTTTTCCTGCCATGTGCCTTGAACTGTATGCCGACTTTCCATTAACTTTTTTCTCACTGTTTTCTCCTGTGAATGGTAGCCACCAACAAAAGGAAAGGTCAGTCAGAACATTTCTGATAACACGATAAATTATAGACATGTAGTTAAATATATTTAAGCAGGCGTATATTGACTTTTTACGTCTTGTACCTTTCTCAAACCCTCTTTAGTTACTTTGTTCACCCACTTTCTCAGTTCTTACCCTCTCCATCTGCACAAATACGATCTAGTATCTCCATTACACCTAAAACACACTGACATGTAATTGTTTTGCTGGATAAAAGTCATCCAAAAAGGGACCCAAGCTAACTAAGGCTCAGAAGGCAAAGCAGCAGGAAAAAGATGAAGAGAGGAGGCTGCAAGAGGAAGGTAACACGGATACTATTATTCATAGAACAGGGAAATATATTTATGTATAATAGGGACACACATACCATGTTTTCATCGCCTTATAGAGGAAGCACGGCTGCAGGCAGTGAAAGAAGAGCAGGAAAGACTGGAAAGAGAGAAAAAAGAACAGGAGCTGGAAAAGCTTGAGTTAAAGGTAAAATGTCCTGGTGGAATACACTAGCCTACCATGTCAGTGAAGTTCAATTTCTGTGAAGTATTCTATTCAATGAAATTCTTTGTGGGGATTAATTTGGTCTCAAACAAAAGTCAGTTCATGGGGTTTTATTGACAGGACCGTGGGCGCAGGGAAGATGAGTTAAACGAACTGCGCCATCTACTGGAGGAGAATCATACTGCAGTAACCGACTTGAAAATAGATGCTGTTGAGAAAGCCAAGGTGTGTTTCTGTCTTCATTCTTTATTGCAAAAAAAAGCAACAAAAATTTGAAAGGGAGTTTATTAATAGTGACTACCAGCATGAAAAAACAAGACTATAATGTATCCTTTGTATACTTTGGAACAGTTTACCTCTGAACATTAGGCAGGCTTGTTCTGTTGAGGTTTTTAAAGCAAAGTTAAAGACCCATTTGTTTACTGTTGAGTATGAGTCATGATTTCTCTGTATGTTTTTCCTGTATTTTAACTGTATTGCTTTGTACAGCACTTTGACTTAAAGTGCTTTATAGATATATTTATTATTATTATTATTATTATTATTATTATTATCCTCTTAATCTTGTTTGTCCGTTAATGGGTTTAATTCAATTTAAATAGCTCAATCAGCCATCATTTTTATCTTCAATAGGTGCTTTATTGTTTCATAATATACACATGTTGTTTGTGTCCAGTGGGAGAAATACATGCGTTGTGATGGCACCCCAGACCCAGCAATACAGCAGGATATCAACACATATATGAGCTTATGGAGAGATGACCAACAGGTTGACATCATACTCGTGCTCAAAGAATGTAATGTCGCTCTACAGGTTTGTATTTTCTTTTTTTCCCTCCAAGCTTAGTGGATGAATCAGTGAAATGTAAATAGACTCAAGTTTTAATGAATAGTTAACATGTTATTTATTTAAAAGTGGTTAATTTCATATATAACAAATATTAATTACATAGGGTTTTAGCTATAGTCATTGCAATGTAAATGTATAATAGTTATCTCCTGTGAGCTAATACATGCTGTGTCTTGTAGCTGATAGAGGAGCTGGAAGGTCTGCTCAGAGATGTTACGGATCCACAGGAGGGCAAGAAGTATCAGGAGTCACTCATCAGTTTGCAGGAGCTAATCCACTCCAAACACAACCTTACCACTGAGGAAATTCTCAAGGTAAAAGAGGCATAGTTATACTTGCTCATACATTGTGAGGATCTGATGATTAAAAAAAACAAACTAATATAGGCTGCATAGATTGACTTTGTAGGTTACCATTCCTATGTTTTGTGTTGTTTGTCTCCATTGTCATAGGAAGCCAGTGCAAACATCGACACTGAGACAGGCAACATGCAGACTGTGGTGAAAAATGAAAACATCACATTGTGTCTCTGGGTTAACCTCAATAAGAATCCAAGGTGTGTGGAAGGAACTTCTATTGTATTATCTAAGATAATGGATAATGGATGTAATGTGGCATTAACAGAAAGAGTGGGGTTTGCAGCTAAGATTTTTTATTTTTAGGGAATACTTTTTATTATCATAATATATACCTGTAACATCTTGTGTATGGACAGCTGCAGGACAGGCACATTTTTGTAGTAATCTTCTTTTTTTTTGTGTGACTGGACCATTCAGGTTTAAAGGTTTACACTTTGAAGAGGCAGGCCTTGGCTTTGGGCTTCCCAAACAGCTGGCTGTGAGCAATATCGCTATCAGGATCCTTCATACACGATATGATCACCTGACCTTACTGGCCAAGATGGCTCACCTGAGAATAAACACAGCAAGCCACAGGTACTCATCTCACTGCTGATGCTCAAATGACAGCACAATAAGTAATAATGCTGCTAATACTTAACATGTCCTCTTTGCTGAGTGTTGTTATCTGTTTGGAAATAGGTCTCTTGCAGGTGATGAGGAAGTTTCAGCAGACGTGGATGTGCCAGAGCAGGAGGAGTCAAAAGGAGAAGATGAGGTGAAAGAAGACATTGAGACCAAGCGGGAGAGAGATGAGGATGAGGAGGTGCAGTCCACGCCAGGACTTGAAGGGATGCAGGTAAGATAAACAAATTAGTTCCTGGATTTGTTGACTTACTTCAATGTGCTGTTTTAATTCTCATTGTGTAGGCTATGTATTTCACAGAGTGCAACCAGTATTCAGTCCAGAAAAGACAGTGCCCAGTCTGCAGGAGGCAGGGGGAGCCAGATACTAACACAGATGGAGGCACTGGATGGTAAGATTCCTGACAGGGATGACAAATAAAACATCCCCAGAACACCAGATTCAAACATGCTGTCACTCATAAAGGTTTGCAGGTTTTAACAACTTAATCAATACACTAATAGATGGCTATGCGCATTATTGTCATTTTATTAGGGAATACAACAAAACTTAATGTTTTTACATACATTAGTATAAAGTTATTTTTTCCACATAAGGAATTATAAATATTGAAGTTCATGATTATTCAAGAAACACAGAAAAACAAAGCACATTTTTGTTGCACTTTTTTTCTCTCCTCAGCTGAGGGGGACTCAAGTTATCCCCCTACACAGGTGTCAATGGTAAATAATAGTGTCCATGTGGTGGACTTAATGCAGTACACACCTCTGGGTGGGGTCTTCTACTATGATGTGTTTCATCTCCCGCCACAAGCCCACCGGGTCAATGGCTGGGAAATAAGACAGGTAAATAGAAAAGGGGGTTTCAGTCTTGGCTGCTTACACCAGGCCCAAAAGCTGAAGGTGTCTTAACAAAACCAACTCCATGTTCATGTTTTTCTAGATTTTGGACAAAGGGTTACAGGTCTTCCCCTACCCATCAGATGACAACGACGTTCTCACCTGCTCTCCTGTTGGTGTGACTGTGACACTACCTGAGTCGGTCGTCTTTTTGAAAACTCCCCAAGTGGCTTGCTGGGATGCCGGAGGTAGGGCAGGCTTTAACAAATGTGATTAAAAAAAAAATCCTCTCCAGCATAGAGAGAAGAGGAATCAAAGAGTTAATGACATTGAAATTGCTGTTTCACTCAGAGAAGCAGTGGAGGATGAACGGCATCACTGACATTTCCTACGAGGAGGCAGAGGCCAAGATCTCATTTAAGGTGGACTCCTTCAGGGCTTTTGTGCTCATGCAGGAAACTTACGCCAACTTTCCCTTCCAGAGCTGGGAGCTCAGGCCACTGAACCAAAACTCAGCTCTTTTTACAATCAAAGGGGAACTCATCGACGTCAGTATCATGATCAAGGTAACAGACTGGAAAGTACTGGAAGCACATAATAAAAATAAACCAGGAGATATGGCCTGTCTGTTCTAATGTGGTGTTTTTCTCTTCAGGGTAATCAGTGCATGTTGCAGTCAGAGCAAGAGAGAGGTCTTTCTCACCTGAAAGAGCAGTGGATGAGTGGCCCAGCTCTGCAGAGAGCAATGATCGATGCAGGGATCAACATCTTTGTGAATGAGTACACTCACAAATATGTCAGCACAATTGCCAAGGTCTGCATCTTTTACCTATCGGATTTAGAAAAAAATAAATACATGGATCATCAGTGGTGATACAATTTTCACCTTATTACATGAAATATGTACCCAGAAAGAAAAAAACCTAAACCTAATGTAGATTAATTATCTGGAGTTTTCACAGACGCCTGTGTACAAAATCAGCATGGCAAATTCATCTGTAGTTCAAGTGAATGTTTGACAGGGTTTATATGGATCTCAAATACATGTTGATGTAAATGTAGTCTTCCTCTGTGCAGGCCATACTGTAGTGCTATGATATGACTACATGTAATATCATTCATTGCATGCTAGCAGGTGCAGCAACTCTTTGGCAATGTACTCTGGCTCAAATAAATATAGTTGAAATTACAAGTAAGCCGAAACACTGTAAAATACATTCACAACATCTTCTGCATTCTTATTTTGGAATAACATTTTTTAAATCTTTTGTTGCACACAAAGAATATTGGCAAAGACTGCAGGGATGTTTCTAACTATTGAACTCGTTATTATTAAATATATTTCAGTCTTAGCCGACACACTTACTGACTCTGCTGCCATCTTAGCTTTACTTCTAACACAGGACTATGTGTCAGCCCGTTAAGATTTACATTGTTCTTCTGTGATTTTGCCCTTCTTTAGGACCCACTGACAGAACATGCTGCATATGAACAGATGGCTCTCTTTGCCTCTGCCTGTGCCTTTTCATGGAGCAAGTGGAACGCCAAATGTGGAGCTGAGCATCTTGTCATGCAGGTACTTTTATCCACACATACTATGGAGTAGTACAATTCTACCCCTTTTTACGCCCAGCGTGAAGTGGTCTGTTAATGTACCTGTTCTCCCCGCCTCACAGGGGTGTGAGCATTATGGCCCTACACCTGTGCCTAGACACTCATGGAGTCTCTACCTGCTCGGCGCACAGAGAAGCCAGAAGCTGGAAATCACAGAGAGCAGTGAGGCTTTCTCAGCAGACCATTACCCCGGCAGTGAGTTTCACTCCACCTTCATCCACATGCTCCAGGATGAAATGAGCGCTGATGGTATAACAAAAACCAGAGAATCCAATAATCTGTTTGTGGATACAATACAGAGCCTGCTCTGTGCCATCAGACCACTGATGTATTCATAAATTGTATGCTGTTCACTGGGGATTGATTTTTTTTTTTTTTTTTTTTTTTTGACAAATCACAAACATCTGACACCTTAATTTGAAACGTCCATGTGTATACACATAAGAACACACGCTTGTATTGTAGAATTGGCTACTTTATTTGTGCAAAGTTCCACACATCTTCTTTGGAACATGTATAAAGTTGAAAACGGTGACAACCACAGCAAGAATATAGAGAAAACAATTAAAAAAAAACCTTTGGTGTTAAGACTTTTACATAGCAGAATTATAACTTAACAAAAATAAACATATTCACATGTCCCCACACCTTGCTAACAAACTCATAAATATAAGATTTAAAAACACTTAAAATGTAAGTTTTATTACCAGTGTTTATAGACTTAAAAGATATAAAATGTTCTCTAAAACCCATGAGGAAACGAATGGATAATTCCATTAAAAAGGCTGGCTTTCCCTTTTCAAGTGCATGAAATGTGTTTGAAAAGCCATGTGTCACAAATTGGAGCCATCATCCATGATGATTGTCAATGGAAAACTTCACAGTGGCCCATGGTATGACTTGGTGAATCAGTGCTTTCACTCTGATGAAGTTCTAACATGATTGGTTAATATTGTGCCAGCTCTGATAACTGATCAAGCCTGATTAAAGAAGTTGTTTTGGGTCCAGGTAGGCAGTTACCAGAAGCACTGATTAGCATCATAATGTGTTAGGATTGTTGAGCAGATCACCGCCTGTAACTACTCTCTGATATAAAACATAAACACACGCATACACTCCTAACAGACTAATTTAGCAAACGTGATGTGATGCATAAAATCCTCCATAGGGTTAACTATCCCCCGAGGCCTGTCACTGCGAGTCATGTTTCAGGAATCTTCAGGCACCAGTAAACATCCAACAGCCTCCACTCAGGATCGGTAGACTTTCTTCTTCATCAATCCAGTGCACCGATCATTTCTGCAGAGGACTGATGGCCAGTTGAACTAACCACCTGGGGTCTCAGGGGCTAGACAGGAGGCTGTCCGTTGTGTCGGAGCCCTGCATAAGGCCAAAGCAGCTGCTGGATGGTCATCCACGAGTCCCCGGTCCCCACAGGAGCAGCATCTACTGCTGGCTGCATCACCAGGCTGGCCAGCAGAGCCAAGAGTCCTGAAGAGCAACCATCAACATGTAACCACTATGAGCTACGATAAGGACTAGGATTTGTAAACAGATTTTTTTTTAAAGGAACTGACATTTTGTACTCTAGACAATACACATGAATAAGGAAAACTAGTACAGTATCAACATTTCATCTTAATTCAAGTTCAAAACTGTTTTTATAGTCGACTAATTATCTTAAAGAGAATACTGCATGGACAAGATGAGTACCTGCTAGCACCACCACCATTGCCAACCAAAGCCAGAGCCCCCTACCACCTCTGGCTACTGCTGCGGCTGCTGCTGCTCGGGAAGAGGTCAGGCTATGGGACAGAGATTGGCTCATTCCTGGTTCTGTAGATGTAGGGCTGGAGGAAGGGCTTGGACTGCGGATGGGCAACGAAAGATGATAAAATGTTACCGGGAGATTTAAAAAAGAAAAAGAGACATGAACATACAAAAAAAAAAGGTCAACATTAAGCAGGAGATTAGATAAGTTACCAAAAACGACACACAGGACAGAGAATCACATATGGGTCATTTGTGGTAACCATTGCAATGGTTTGCAGGCTGTGAATTTTAGCTCATATTTGGTGCAATCTGAGGTTGAATAGCAGTTTATAACCTGTATCAGAAAGCGTCAAAAGAAGCAAATTAATTGACATCATCACCAGCGTAATGAAAAAGCTGTCAGCAGCACATTTAAAAGCAGCTGGCATGGAGGTGGATTGAGCATTAACTGGTTTTAAGCAAAGGCAGCAGACAATTTCAGCCTGGAATCTGTCAACAGTAGGAGTGCTGCTTAAAAGTGTGAGTTGCAAGTGGCATATGATTGGCTGATTGATACAGGCATTTTGCATGCATTTCTTTTTCTTTTGCTGTTGACAGAGAAAGAGTCCAAAAGCATTTTAAACTTTTGACTCTCCTCCCTTTCACACTTACAGCATTACAAACAGTTCATCCTGACTCCTGAGCAATGTGGAGGGAGGAAAAGAGCAAAAGACAATTGAGAACAACCCTTGATCTGCTTACACAAAATACTCAAGTTGCCCCATTAAAATGAATGAAATGGTCCAAGTGTAGTAGTTTGCACATATGAGAGGCGATTGTTAGTGAGTGAGAGAGAAAAGTGAGCCCAGTAAAGATGAGATAGTTATCAGTTAGATGATTTGTTAGACTCAAACTGCAAATCAGAACTTGAGATCCATGCATGCAACACAAATCATAAAGCTTCTGAAATTACTTGTCAGACGGACATACACAGATCTCAAGACAGTTTCAAATTAAAAGACATGGTTCATTTTTTTACAAGTAAAATGCTTGGTCAACATGATTTAAAAAAAAAGCCGCTTGACCCCTGGAGCAAAGAGGAAGCTAGTCCAGTACAGACCCATTCGATGAAAGAGTCTCATCATTTAGGAGGTTTCATATTCACTAAATGTTTTGGACAATAGAGCATGATGAAAAGCCAAAAGTGTGTAACATCATGGATTAAGTTTGCAGCCTGTGGAACCTCAGTACAGCTAAATGATGAACTCTTCCACCATTGAGCTAGCCTCCTAGCTTAGCTGGCAGAAAGCGGTGCTGAGAGTAGGCTCGTGGTGGGTATTTGGTTGGACTAACGTCTTGAGGGGCAGAATGAAGGAGGTGAGTTTGTTGCCCAGCTCACTGAGACTGGACCTCCTCCTCTCTGCCACCGGCTCCTCCTTCTGCTCTTCTTCCGACTGGTAGTCGGGATTGTCGCAGGCCGTCCTGTTGGCACGCGTGGGTCAGGCATTCACAAACACACGGTTCAATTGCACATTCAAATACAAGCATGGCTTTACAACCACACTGATTCTGTATGTGCACATGCAAACATGCACATTTCAGGCGTATGCAGATAGAGAACGTTCACTATTTGACATTTACCAGTTCCCCTCAGAGATAAGGATTTCTAAAAGAAACTTGATAAATCTTGTTAGAACTTCATTTATGAATTATAAAAATGCATGCCAAGTAATGTAAAAAACATGCTGTGGTAGTATCTTATGGCCCCATATCACAGTTTCACAACTTTCAGATATTTGGAGATCATTACAAATGTGTCATTTTGATTTTCTGAATTCCATTTTTAACTTGTCTGGTTAAACAAAAAAGAATTCTACCGTTGTCGTCCAAACATTTGAAAGCTTTATGAGTCCAAAACAAAAAAGGCTCACTCTGACTAAAATTTACAAAAATAAAAGTGTGCAGGATTTGGAAAGTGACACAACAAGATGTCGTCTGCTACTAAACACTTCCCATTGGGGACCAGACGCAGGAAAGATGGCTGCTTTGTTGTGTGATGTAATCATCACAAAGTTAATATATTGTTTGGTGTTTTTCCAGGAGTCCACAATTCTCAATTAGCAACCTTTCCTTTTTTTGTGTAAAAGTTGATTAATTTTCATCTAAATTAATTTGACCTAGTGCTACATAATGTGACACTTTTCTTCCTGTCATTTAACGGATGCTCCCTGGCAGCTATTTATTAAGTCATCAGTATAAAAATCTATTTCTAAGTGGGCACATTATTACTGATAATTAACAGAGGAAGAGATTTATTTTTTTCCTTGCTCTTAAATGATAACATAACACTAACTGTAAAGGGTTTTGGAGAACAGCAAACTGAATTGTTAGACCAGCAGGAATGATGTCACAGCTGCCATCTTTATGTATCTGGGTCCACTGTGAAAGGACTTGTCGCAGGCAGTGTGTTGACCTATCTTCTTGTCTTACCCCTTCATCATGAGAGACGGCTCTTCAGTGTCAACCCAGGCCGCAGAGCTAACATAGCGTTTGAGTGGGGGGCGTGCTGAGTTCTTTCCTGCCACATTCCTGGAAACCATCGTTATCACATTGGAGCTTAACAACAGAAACCCTTACATTATGGTGCAGCGAGCCTCAGTGGTTTGCTATTGGCATGCACACAAACCAGAACTGCTGAATTACAACAAATCATCTGATCTCAATCTTTGCACACTCTTCCCCCAGTTAGAGACTTGATCTTGTTTCACTTCCCTAAACATATATGGAGACTAATTTAACACACACTAACACAGTAAAACACCTACCATGGGGATCTCCTGGTCAGTCTCTCTGCTTCAGTCTCGGAGCCGTCTTGTGTTTTGGACTGTGGGAAGAAAAATACAAAATTCAAATAAACAATGTAAAAAAAAAAAAATCTATTCTCAGAATACTTCAGTATTTGTAGCTTCATTAGATGCATCCCCACTTCTTGGATGGTCCTGATATCACTCAGGTCTGTTGTTCATATTTTTGGGATCACTCTGGTATGGAACTTCAGTGAACTGAAATGTGACTAAATTCTATCCCTGACCTGCATAGCACTCTTTAAGATTTGTCTTTCTTCCACATAACAGAACTTTTACTGGCACGGTTAAAATGTAATAATGGAGACGGGAACATTTTTCATTGGAATATATTTTGGACAATATGGGGGGACTTTTAAAAAAAAGTATCTATTTACCTTTGGAGCAACCTGAACGATTGCAACATGATAAAAATGTAGAAAAGCCTAATTTGGATAAAAAGTGCATGACTGACTGACTATGAAAACAAACGGCATGCTACATGATCTTATCAGATTTTTATTTGGGAGGGGGGGGAGGGGCGAGCCTGAGACAATACCAGCATATTCCTCACCATGTCAAATTGCATGTTGCCTCCACCAGAGCGAGGGATTGCTGCTATGCTGACCCGTCGGGCTGTGGACTGTTGGTTGGGGAAAAAGAAAAAAAATGACTTCCAAACAAACTTGAACATTATCCAGTCGTCCAGGTTTAAAGACATTCAGTAGATTTTAAAATTTAAGTTTGTACCTTGTAGTACTGAGATGTTGGCTGCTTCTTGCCACGGAAATCTTCTGTGAAAGTCAATGAAAGTTTTCTAGATGTGTTTAGTCACTGAACATATTCACACATACATGTATATCCTGATTGTTTACACACAACTTAGTGAGCTGATTTGTGATGATCAAACCTCATCAGAGCTGCAGAAAAATGTGAATCTACATTTAAATATTATAATGCTTTTATGTATCTTGTGCCTCTACTACCATATAATTATATAATCTGGTTTTAGAAGTAATTGTATGAGAAAATGCCTCCTGTACTCCTTCAAATTTAACCACAAAA